GAGCAAACAACTTCGGGGAGCTGGCGGCGAAACCGAAATCAGGGAGGGGGGGTCAAACGGGCCGCAGGCGGGAAACTCCACCGTCGCGCGCTTCCTACAAGCCACCGAGAACGAGTTTGCACGGAGTCGCATACAAACCTGGATGCGTTGGCCCAAGTGCGAGAAATGATTCATCGAATCCCTCGCTCGACAATGGAACGTTGCGTGCGCGCAAACGCAAGAGGAAGTTTTCTTCGGTTTGGTTGCCCCCCACTATGCTGCTCAGCCTCCGTCTCCCCCGCTTTCTCGTCAATGGGGCAAGAACTTCCCCCACAATAAAACCTATTTCCGCCTGCCCTCCGCCACCGTGTCAAACGGGCCTCACCTGGTCTGGGGTTGAGTGCAACCAACCAAATGCCCTGGTGGCCTCGCTTCGCTTCGCGTTCAGTTCGCGCCGCGTCCCTCCACCTGACTGACCAGCTACAGTGATCCACGGCCCACCACCACCATCAGAAAACGCAACAGCCCCCAGCTGCAACAAGTCGAGGCAGACCAAGGCAGAATTCAGCAGGCAGGTGCAGGCAGGAGGTGAGCTGGCAGAACCCCATCCACCATCACCTTACACCTGTTTTTTGGACAGCTTCTATTTCCAACCAAATCCGCTGAATCGAAAGAGTACCGTACGTTCTAGCATAACCAAACCTAAGTCCCTTCAGCTGCTCTGTCTCCATCAGCTGCATTAGGACAAGCAACTGCAGCGGCACCGCAACCGCTCAGCGTTGCTTAGTTTACCGCAGCGTCACCCACGGTCCTTACAGTTACTCAGTCAAGCTTCTAACTCCTTCAGTCAAGCTTCTAACTCCTTCAGTCACGCTTTTAACTCCTTCAAGTCTATCTCATGGGGCGAATGTTATTGCACCCAGCAGCTTTTAAAGACTGCAGTGCTGACAGATCCACATGCGCTGCTTGCTCCTCGCAAACCTCACAATCCACCAGCAGCAGCAGCAGCGGCGGCGACGGCGGCGTAAGCAGCAATAGCAGCAGCAGCAATAGCAGCAGCAGCACCAGCAGCAGCAGCAGCGGCGGCGGCAGCATGGCTGTGTGCACTTGTCCGCCAGAAACCACCGCAGCCATTCCGAAGCGTAAGACTGGCCGTCTGGTTTCCGCCATCTCTCGCTTTTTTCAGAAAGCCAACGAAACTGGCGCCTCAGCGACAGGCGCAGCGGCTTCTCCAGCCATGGCTTCCGCCGCAGTGGCACCGGCGGAACTTCCGCAGCGCCAGCTCTCCGCGGACTTCGTCATAGAGAGGGTGGTTGCGGCGGGCAAGGCGACCCGTTGCGACGGCGCTCAACAAGCCGCGGACGAAGAGCACGTCAGACGACATGTCAGCTCGCTGCCGGCGCGGTATGTTGCAGCCGGCTACTCGCCGGTGACCGTCAGGAGCCATATGGCGCTGCTGGAGGAAGCCGCTTCGTTGCGCGATGGCGTTCCGGCGATCAGACTAGACGTGAAGAACGGCGGCTCGAGCAGCGCCGGCAGCACCCAGCATGACGCGGTTTCTGTCGCAGCCATCGGCGGGGTGGGCTATTGCGACTCCGACGACGATTGCGACTCGTCGCTCGACGGCTTGTCGCTGGGATCGTTCGAGGACTCGCTCTCGGTCAGTCGCACGGAGATCACCTTCGCATGCAGCTCGCACGTGTGCGCGGACGCGCTCTCGTCCGCGCTCCATCGCGCGGGGATGCGCACGTACGGTATGACGACATTCGACACTAAGAACGGCTTTACTCTCGGGCACTTCATGTTGCGCGCATCCATCGCGCAGTTCTCCATGCGCGAGCTCGAGGACGTCTTCGCCGCCGCGTGCAAGCGCCAATCCCCGCGCGGATCCCTCCCGGGCTCCGCCCCCCGCGCGCTGCAAGCGCTCCCGGAGGTGCTCGGGGAGAAGCTGACACACCTTGTGGGGAAAATGAGTCCTCGCCATCACCTGAGCCACCACCTGAACCCCCACCATCACCACCACCACAATCACGGAAGTGGATCGTGGAATCTGGGTAGCATCAGCCCACGACGGGCGTTCCCGCATCATTCCGGCGTCGCGGCGGCGGCGAGCTCGGTGCCGGCGGCGGCGGCGTCGGCGGCGTCGCGATTCGCGGCGGCGGCGGGCGGCGGCGCCAGCCCGCTCTCCTCGTCACCCGACGGCAACGGGCTCCTGCACGTGCTGCTATCGGAGCGCGGCGCGATGAAGAAGAGGCTCGGCGCGCTTATCATGGATCCGATGAAGCTCGAAATCGGGCCGCTCATCGCGGTGGGCGCGTCGGGAGAGGTGCGCAAGGGCACATACGAAGGCGAGGAAGTCGCGGTGAAGATTCTTAAAGGCGAAGGGAAAGACGTTCACTCCATGGTTGCGGAGTTCCGCCGGGAAGTCGTGACGCTGATGGCGTGCGGGGAGTGCCCGCAGCTGCTCAAGTTCCTCGGCGTGTGCGTGGACGTGCGCGGGCGCATGTGCATAGTGACCAAGTACATGGAAGGCGGCACGCTGAGCGACATGCTCCGCCGGCGACAACCACTACAGCCGCTACAGCCGTCTCAGCAGCAGCAGCTGCAGCAGTGTGGAACCGCGAGGAAGCTGAGCATGAGTGAGGTGTTATCGATCGCCCTAGACGTCGCAAAAGCTATGGCGTTTCTGCACAAGCACGGCATGATTCATCGTGATCTTAAGTCCGCGAATATCCTCCTCGACCGCGACAACCGCGCGGTCGTGGGCGACTTCGGCGTCGCGCGATTAAAGACGGAGCGCGGCGAGATGACCAAGGAGGTCGGGACGTACCGCTGGATGGCGCCAGAAGCGTTCGGAACGAGCTCCTGGCCAGTCACGCACAAGGCTGACGTGTACAGTTACGGAATCGTTCTATGGGAGCTTATCGCAGGGGAGCTACCGTTTGCGGATTATTCTCCGTTACAAGCTGCTGTAGCGGTGGCGCTTAACGGAGCGCGGCCTCCCGCGCCGGAAAACTGCCCTCCCGGGATTAGGAAGCTGATGGAACGATGCTGGGACAAAGCGCCCAAGGAACGGCCGGAATTCACGGAAGTGATAACCGTGCTGCAGCAGCTGATGCGGGAGGAGGAGGCGCAGCGGTAGCAGATGAATGGGAAATTAGGGCTTGATTTGATGCGTACATATCACCCTTCCCAGGCCAAAAAGTGTCGGTACATATTTACTCAGGCGGGTGTATAATCTGCACTCGCCCTGTCCTCCGTCACCCCTTTACTTACTACTACTCTCCTCCCTCGCTCTCTCCTCTCTCTCCGCCCGCTGCCTACAAAGGAGCTGGCGGAAAGACAAAACAGGCCATTGGGCCCAGGGCAGGTACAGATTTCCAATTTTGTAGGTGAGAAGCTGCTCTGAAGCAGCTTTACTGGAAAAGAGTTCCACAGTTTTGCTCATGTCTTGCTACACACCTTGCCTGTTAATATGTAAATTATACCGGTAAGCTGTATATTTTGTGTATTGCTTGAACATGCATTACAAAACATAGCAATAAAGACAATCCGATTTGACCTAGCAGAGTATTCCCTAAACATCTAGCTCCCTAATTCAGTTCCCTAAGGACGTGTGAGATTTTTTATGGAGTTCGTAATCAGGGTCGAACTTTTGGTGGTTACCTTTTTCGCCAATGTTCGCTAACCGCCTCGCCGAAGTCGAAACAAATTCCCCGTTTGGGAAGTGCGAACCCTCATTTGTGAACTTGATACAGAAAAATTCGTGAACTTGCACAAACACAAAGATCCAAACGTGTGTGGTGTCAGGCACGTACGAGGTTTCAGCGAACCTCGCGACTCATTCGTGCGCCAATGAGATCACAACCAAGACACAGCGCATTGCTGAACTCGCTATGGCCACCACGTGGCACAATTCGTGCCACGATGGCAGTGAGCATTGGAAGTACGAGGCGTCGCAGGTAGCCTTGAAGCACAATCCCCAGGAAACGCACGAGCTGAATGAGAGTCATTGTGAGATGCTGACTTGGAAATTGGTTCATCTCGCCGATATTTGTATCGTGCACAACTGCCACAGATGTGAAGTTGAGCTGGAGGTCTAGGGCTCACTTTTTTTAGCAGCGCTCCGGTGACGTGTCGCGCTGTGGTGTGCTTGAAACCGGGTAACCTACAGTCTCCAATTGCGGCTCGGTTCCCCCTCTGTAAATTCGAACTTGCAAATTCGCACCTTGGTGTGTGATTGTGAGTATACAAGAATTTGCACTCGCGGTGCGAACCTTGCCACATCTCAAAATCGATTCAAGTTCAGGTTATAAAACCCTGCTTAAATCGAGTAAAAAACGTGAACTTTCATAAACCCTTGTTTCACACACGTCCTAATCATCTAGTGCTCGACCATTGTTATGTAGTTTGTATGCACGTTTCATGCTTAGTATTTTCTCTTCATTGGATCTTCTGCGCATTGTACAAAGTGGACTACCGTATAGTGCATTTCTGAATGTTTTTGCTGTGGCTTGGGGAGGCCCAAAGCGTCCACGCAGCCCCCTACCAAACCATACTATAAATAAAATAAAACGCTCTAGAACGAAATAATCACCATCGAACCGCATTCGATTCGGACGCATTGCCAGACACCCCTTGGCTAGCTACAGTGTCGTCCAGGCACACCCCACCAGCCCCTGCAAACAGAGCACCTCCTGATTATTGACTACAGTTGTCAAGCTCTGGTCTGCGCTACTTATTAGCCACGACTCACACTGCCCTCGCGTCATCGCTGTTGGGCTCCCTTCCCGCCTTCTTCAGTCATTCCCCCTTACACCTGATTGGTTTCTCCTAATCATGAGCAATTCAGATCGGTCTCGAAGCTAAATGATTAGCTAAACTGGTCGTTTTCTAATCATGGACCCATCAGCAGTGGGTTGAAATTCCACCCAGTTCAACCCAGCTCCACCAAGTTTTACCCAGTTTTACCACCAACCGCTTTGAATCCTCCACATTCTCCCGCATCGGCCTCGCTAGTCATGGAGCCATCGGCAGCTGAGTTATCGCGGCCAGACTCGGCGCGCAGCGCGTGGCACTGGATCGAATTCGTTCTCTTCCCCGCGAAGCTCGACGAGCATCTCGCGCTGCTGGAACAAGGCGCTACTCGCGCGCCGTCGCTCGTCGCTCTCATCTCCACATTCCTCGAACAGGTCAGTTGTTTGAAAACTCTGAACAGGCCCAGTCAGGTCGGGTCGGGTTACACTAAAGCCTCACCACATCACACTGTGGCCGTCGCGCGTCTCCAAATCCCTCGAGCAGGTCCGTCAGGTATCGCCCAGATAGGCCCAGCCAGGTCATGTCAGGCGGGGTCAGGTAGGGTGAACTTCCGATCTGCTTGAAACAACAGCCGTTGCGTGTCACGCTCATCTCCACATTCCTGGAACAGGTCGGTCGCCCAGATAGGCCTGGTCAGGTCGGGTCAGGTCGGGTCAGGTCAGGTCAGGTCAGGTCGGGTCAGATCAGGTCAGGTCAGGTAAGGTTGGTCAGGTCGGGTCAAATCAGGTCAGGTCAGGTCGGGTCGGGTCGGGTCGGGTCAGGTCAGGTCGGGCCAGGTCGGGTCAGGTCGGGTCAGGTCGGGTCAGGTCGGGTCAGGTCGGGTCAGGTCGGGTCAGGTCGGGTCAGGTCGGGTCAGGTTGGGTGATTTTCTGAGGCAGCTTATAAGATGGCTGTCACTTGTCACGCGCTAGTCTCCTCTCCACATTCCCCCCTCCCTCGCCTACTCCCATTCCCGCTCCCTTCCTCCCTCTTCCTCCCTCCCTGTCTTCTTCTCCCGAACCCTTTCAGTGTATCCCTCCTTCCATCGTTTCTCATCTCCGCCACTCCCCTCCACTCCGCGCTCCTCCCTACCCCCAGGCGGCGCAGATTCAGAGGCTACAGGCACCCGCGGAGGGGGAAGGGGCTGGCGCACCAGGCGGGGAAGGGGCGGAAGCAGGTGGGGGGAAAGGAGCGGGCGCACCAGAGAGTGGGGGAGGAGGGGCAGGTTTGGGGAATGGTGTTGCTGGGAAGAAAAAGGGGAGTGCAGGAGAAGAAGCTCCTGCATTGGTTAAGCACGGGGAGGGAGGAGGAGGAGGAGGAGGAGGAGGAGGAGGAGGAGGAGGAGGAGGAGGAGGAGGAGGAGGAGGAGGAGGAGGAGGAGGAGGAGGAGGAGGGGGAGGAGGGGGAGGAGGAGGAGGGACAGCAGGAGACGGAACACCCATGAGACCACCTCCCAACCAATCAGAAGTCACTATCATGGCTCTTTGCCGATTGGTCGTCCGTGCTGCTATGAAATCAAATCTCTCGCTCCCTTTGATCGAAAATGATTTTCCCTTTATGCATCAGATGCCTCTGCTACAGCTGCTCGTGCTGCTGGACGATCCGAGCCGTCGCATCGTCCGGCAGTGCAATCTGCACCGTTGGTTCTTACGCGCTTGTATGGACTGCCCGGGTGGGGGTGCAAAAGTTTTGGGCGGCGAAAGAGGAGAGGGAGAGTCAGGTGGCTTGAAAGGGGGAATTGGGGGAGGTGATGCAGGCGGGAGGTATGGTGCTGGGGGGTTGGGAGGGGTGGGAATGGGTGGAGGTGGATTGGGAAGAGGAGGAGGACAGGGGGGTTGGGGAGGAGGAGTAGGAAATGGTGGAGCAAGAGGGTTTGGTTCTGGAAACGCTGGTGGTGGTGGTGGTGTGGGTGGTGTGGGGGGAGGTATGGGTCCTGGTATTGGTGGTGGTATGGGTGGAGTGGGGGGAATGGGGGGTACGAAGAATACAGGGGCGAATGGGAAGAGTAGTGTGGATGTGAGGAGGATTTCCCCGTTGCTCTGTCCTTCTGCTTCGGCGGCAGACCTTGATGCTTGGCTCGGGCTAGCTGACGAAGGAGTATCGGTGCAGTACTTACTCAGGGTTTCGGGGTTCGGGAAGGGAGGAGGGGAGGAAAGAGGAGAGGCGGGTGGAGAGGAGGGAGGAGAGGAGGGGGGAGAGGCGGGGGAAGGGGAGGGAAGAGGGGAGGAAGGAGGGAAAGGAGAGGATGTGGAAGAGGAGGAAGGGAAAGCGGAGCAAGGGGTCCAAGCAGGAGAGAGGAAAGTGAGGGGGTCTGATAGGGGAGGCAGCAGCAATGGGGGAGGAGCAACAGCAGGGGAAGGAGAAGAGAAAAGAGAAGAGAAAGGAGAAGAGAAAGGAGAAGAGAAAGGAGAAGAGAAAGGAGAAGAGGAAGGAGAAGGGGAAGGAGAAGGGAAAGGAGTAGAGAAAGGAGAAGAGAAAGGAGAAGAGAAAGGAGAAGAGGAAGGAGAAGGGGAAGGAGAAGGGGAAGGAGAAGGGAAAGGAGTAGAGAAAGGAGAAGAGAAAGGGGAAGAGAAAGGAGAAGAGGAAGGAGAAGCGGAAGGAGAAGGGAAAGGAGAAGGGAAAGGAGAAGGGAAAGGAGAAGGGAAAGAAGAAGGTGAAGAGAAAGGACAGGACGGAGGGGTTTTGAGTTGGGGAAAAGAGGGGGATGGGAAGGAGGGGGCTGCCGTGCCAGGGGCAGGGGCAAGGGCAGGGGCAGGGGCAGGGGCAGGGGCAGGGGCAGGGGCAGGGGCAGGGGCAGGGGCAGGGGCAGGGGCAGTGGAAGGGGAAGGGCCAGGGGAGGAAGCAGTTGGGGTTGAAATGAAAGACGAGGAATGCACAACGACAGATATGAAAGACCAATCTTCTGATTCTCCTCCTCCTGTTGCTGCCACCGGCGCCACTGCTGTTGCTGCTGCTACTGCTGCTCCTATTGCTGCTCCTACTTCTGCTCCTACTGCTGCTGCTGCTGCTGCTGCTGCTGCTGCGGCTGCTGCCAGTCTTCCTCACGCCGCTCCCACTCCTGAGGCTGTCCCTGCTTTGCCTCCCCGGTTGCAGCAGCTGGTGTGGTTCGACCTGGGGGAGTATCGGTTTGCAAGGGGGGATATTTGGGAAGCAGCCTGGTTGTTTGCCGCGTGCAAGGCTGGAGCGAGGAAGGAGGGTGAGAGGGAGCGGGTGGGGGAGGGGGAGCGGCATGGGGATGGGGATGGGGATGTGCAAGGGAAGGGGGAAGGGGGCCGTTTGGAAAGGGAAGAGGGCGAGGGTGAGGGGGAAATGAAGGGTTTGAGAAAGGGTGATGGGGATGGGGATGGGGAGGAGGCGATGGGAATGGAGGGAGAGGATGTTGCAGAGGCGAGATATTGTGAGGAGTCTCAGGAGAGGAAGATGAGAAGGAAAGACGAGAAAGCGGAGGAGGATTTGGAGATGAAAGAGGGGGAGAGCGAGGGGGAGGGAGAGGGGGAGGGAGAGGGGGAGAGGCGGGGAGAAGGGGAGTCAGCAAAGGGGCAGAGACCTGTAAGAGTGGCTAGTACAAGAGGCAAAGTGGAAGCAGAGGAGGAGCGAAAGGCGGAAGGAGTAGAGGCAGGGGTGGGAGCAGGTAGTGCAGGGGGAAAGCGCGGAGAAGGAGGGTTGGATGTAGGTTCAGGAGAGGGGTCGGGGCTTGTAGAAAGCGGAGGAAAAGGAGGAGGGGGAGGAGGAGGAGGAGGAGGAGGAGGAGGAGGAGGAGGAGGAGGAGGAGGAGGAGGAGGAGGAGGAGGAGGAGGAGGAGGAGGAGGAGGAGGAGGAGGAGGAGGAGGAGGAGGAGGAAAAAGGAGGGAGAGGGTAGGGCTTTTGAGTGTGGAGGAGGAGAGTGAAGGCGAGATTGTGAGGGAGCGATTGCTAGGGTTTCTGGCTGCGTGTGAGGCAATGCTTCCTGCTTCTGTTGTGAGATGGGGGAGGGAAGAGAAGGGAGGGACTGGGAAGGCGAGGGGGATGGGGGAAATGAACAGAGGGGAGGGTGCAGAGAGGGGGATGGGCACGGGAAAGGGAGAGGGAAAGGGTGAGGGAGAGGGGGAGGGAGAGGGGAAGGGGGAGGGGGGGGCAGGGGAGGAGGATGTGGGATTTTCTCTGCCCATGAATGCTGCTGCTCGATGTGAACTGCTGAGGAAGCAAATCTGTGATGCTGCTGCAGCTGCTGCCACAGCTGCTGTTGGTGCTGGCGCTGGTGCTAGTGCTGGCGCTGGTGGTATCTCACCAGAAGCTAGAGGAGATAAAGCACGTGGGGGCGTTGGGGTAAAGGAGCAGGCCCAGCAGAGGAAACGCAAGAGACAGAGAGGAGGCTCTGATTGCAATGTTGGAGCACACTCAATGGAATGCGTCAAAAAGGGACAGGGGCAGGACAAGCAGCAGCAGCAGCAGCAGCAGCAGCAGGAGGAGGGGGAGGGGGATGGGAAGGGGGGAAAGAAGAAGCAGGAGGAGGCAGATGACGAGGGGAAGAGGAAGGAGAAGCGACAGAAGCACAGTGAACGTTTCAGCCCGAATGAACAGCCAGGAGGAGAGGTTGGTGGGGGTCGGCAGGATGATGGGGAAAGTGCAGGTGCGGGAGAGGGTGGCGAGAGTGATGATCTGGGGGGAGGAGGTGCGTGGGAGGTGGAGAGACAGAAGGAGAAAAAGGATGACGAGGAAGATGAGGTATGGGGATGTGGACAGGAGCAGGAGCAGGAGCAGGAGCAGGAGCAGGAGCAGGAGCAGGAGCAGGAGCAGAGGGATGAACAGAAGCAGGAGCAGCAACAGGTAGATTTGCCAAGAAAGGAAGGCAAATTTTCTCCAGGCCAGCTTCCTGCCACTGCTCTCCTGAATATGCTGATTCAGGACATTGTGTGGCAACAGCTGCCCGAAGGGTACCGGGCAGCACTTGAAAATGATTGTTCGCTGCCCGAAGGCGTCCGTGGGAGAATTTTCGCAGCGAATCTTGTTCACCGCGTTGCTGTTGGCTGGCAGCCCGTGGAAACTTTTCTAAGGTCCTGGATGGAGGGGGATATTCCAGGGCAGTCCGGGCAGAAAAATACCCACCAGAGGGGGCTGTCAAAGAATGTCCTTGTTGTTTCGGTCAGATTGCTCGATTTCTTGGTGATTCAGCTTGAGGGAATCCCTTGTGGCAGTGTGGAAACATGTGCAGCAGGCAATGGCGTGCCAAGGAATGGAAGGGACAGGGGCGGAAGAAGGGGCAGAGAGAGGGGTGGAGACGAGGACTTAGTGGTGGTGGTGGAAGCAGAAAGAGCAGTGGTGATTGCAGAGAGAGCAGCGGCGCTTGCAGCGTTTGTGAGCTGTCTGGTGGGCGAAGCATGGGCGTGGGGCCTTGCTGGGCGAGTCAGAGGACTGAAGTGGCGGATAGAGGAGGTGTGGAGGGGCGGGTGCGGTGGGATGGGTGATGTGGAAATCGGGGAGGGCAGAGAGGGCAGGGACGGAAGAGAGGGGGCTGAGGAGGATTGGGAGGGCGGAGAGGATGAGGGTGATTGGGCTGTTGGTGGCAGTATGATAGGGGAGGAGGACGAGGAGGAGAAAGAGGCGGAAGAGGAGGAAGAAGAAAAGGAAGTGAAGGAAGGATGGGCGGAGGAAGGAAAGAGGTCCACGTGGAGTGGCATGGGAGGGCAGATGTCTCTAAGGCGACGTGTGGCAGGGAGGGGCATGCGAACCGAGGCATGGGATTGGTTGATGGTGAGGAGGCGAAATGGGAGGTCCTTTGCGGGTCTCTGTCTCCCTGCGTTGGCTGTGGAACTGGGTGCTCTAGGGTCTGTTACAGAACTGGAAAGGCTGGCTGGAGTGATGCTGCTGCAACGTGGTGAGGTTGGGGCTGTGCAGAGGACACAGCAGCAGCAGCAGCAGCAGCAGCAGCTGGTGGTAGTGAGGCTTCTGGAGCGGATGGGGAAGGGGCTGCTGAGGGCATGGATAGTGGCAGGGGAGAGAGAGGGAGGAGTGATCTGGCGAGAGTGTGGCTCGGATGGAGGCTTGGATGGAGGCTCGGGTGGAGGGTTGGAGGAGGGGGATTTGGGAGAGGAGTCGCAAGGTATGATGTGCGCGGGAAAGGGTGGGGGGAAGAGGAGGGATGGTGCTGTGTGGAGTGAGGTTGGGGGAGGGGAGAGAGAGGTGAGGAGTAGGGAGCTTTGGACTGGTGCCCAACGAATGCTCCAACTGGCAGTTCAAGTGTCTGCTGCTGCTGCTGCTGCCACCTCTGTTGCTGCAGCTCCTGATGCTGCTCTGGCTGCTTCTGCTGCTGCTGCTGCTCCAGCTCCTGTTGATGATGCTGCTGCAGAGGTTCCTGCAGAGACCTATTGGGTCGGTAATGTGGGCAGTCAGGTTGTACTGTGGGCCATGGGGGGCAGACTGGGGGGAGGGGCGGAAAGGAATCCCAGAGGCGGGGAGTGCAGGGAAGGGGATGGCAGGGGCGGTGGGACGGATTTGGTTGATGGGATGGTGGATGGAGGAGGGGTGGTGGGGGTAGTGCCAGTGGTTGCTGCTGGTGGTGCGGGTGCTGATACTGATGATGGTGATGGTGCCGGTGATGTTGATATGAAAGGAAGCGTATTGCAGAACAAGCAAGAGCAAGTTCAAGAGAGGAAGAAGATGCAGCAGCCGCAGCCGAAGCAACCGCAGCAGCAGCAAAGCTGCAATGGCTTGTCTGGGGGTGCTGCTATGTGGTCTAGGGATCCTCGCACGTGGCCTCACCTCTCTTCCCCCTGTGTTGCCCCAGACGCTGCTGAGCTGGCTCTGGCGCTCCTGACCAATCAGCAGCGGTGGGACGACGCACTGGCACTCTGTGATTGGCTGGAGGGCGTTGTTAGGCGAGTGGAGGGTGGAGGGGGAGGGGGGGCGAAAGATGGGAAGCTGGTGGTAGGGGTTGTTGGGGCTGAGCGGTTATCACCGGCAGCAACAGCAGCAGCAGCAGCAGCAGCAGGAGCAGCAGGAGCAGCAGTTGTAGCAGCAACAGCAGCAGCAGGAGCAGCAGGAGCAGCAGTTGTAGCAGCAGCAGCAGCAGCACCGGCAGAAGAGAAAGTAGCAGCAGGAGCAGCAAAAGCAGCAGCAATTGCAGCTGCAGTAGAGGCAGGAGCAGTGGTGGTAATGGAAGAAGGAGAAAGCAGGATGGAAGGCAGGGTAGATGGTATTGGGGGAAAGAATAGAGGTGGGGAAGGGAAGGGAGGTGATGAATCTGCTACAGCTGGAGCAGCAGTAGCAGCAGGGGAAGCAGGGGAGAAAGAGCTTGAGGGGGTTGCAATGGAAAGGAAGGTAGCTGTAGCGGGAGCAGGTGACTCACTTCCTGCTGCTCCTCCTGCTGCTCCTGTGGGGTTGGAGAGTGGGGTCTTGGAGGCAGGACGAGCGGGAGGGGTCCGAGAGCGGGTGGACCAGGGAAAAGAGGGGCAGAGAGAGAGGGAGAGGGAGGGGGGGCGGAAGGGGTGGGAGAGGGGTTGGTGTGTGGAGGTGAGTGCAGTAACAGGTGTGTGTCGGGGCCTTTGCGAACTCATGATTGCTGCTGATACGTTTCTTTGCGGGGGGGGCGAAGGAGGACGAGGGGGAGAATCAGCAGGAGGAGGAGGAGAAAGGGGAGTGGGAGAGGGAGGAGAAAGTGGAGGAGGAGGAGGAAGTGGAGGAGGAGGAGGAGGGGGAAGTGGAGGAGGAGGAGGAAGTGGAGGAGAAAAGGGAGAAGTAGGGAATATTCTTTCCAAGTCTGTGATTGAAACGGGCAGCAGTAAAGTGAGCAGTAAGCCAGACAGTAAATCAGATAGCAAGACAGACAACAAGGGAGACAGAAAACGAGACAGCAAGGCAGACAATCACAAAAGCAACCCGGCAAGCAACTCTGTGAGTGTGAGTGCCGGTGCAGCAGCAGGTGCTACCAGCCAGCCTGGTAGCCTAGAGGAGGCTACCAGGCTCGCTGCTGCCAGGCTGTGCTCTGCTCTGGATGCTGCTCTGACTGCCGTTGTGGTGTATGGGTGCCAGGAACCTCGACTCCTGCTGCCCCTGCTGCCACTGGGAAAGGAAGGAGGGGCTGCGAAAGGAAATGCTGCTCCTCCTGCTGGTGCTGGTGCTGGTGGTGGTGGTGGTGTAGGAGCAGTGGGAGAAGCTGGAGGGAAAGCAGGCGGGGAACTGGGTGGGCAGCAGCTGGAGCAGCTGGGTCCGATGAGTTTGGTAGCGTCCCAAATAACAGCAACGGCGGTAACAGCAGATGCAGCAGCAGCAGTAGACGTAGCAGCAGCAGAAGTAGCAGCAGCATCAGCAGCACCAGAAGCAGCAGCAGCAGCGCCGTCTGTCTCCGTGCCTCCCATGGCCGATCTCCTCCGTCGCGTTCCCCTCCTGCCACTCCTGGCAAATCAGCGCCTGCTCACGCGGCTGGCCTCTCTGCTCGTGGGCTGGGTGCATCGATATGCCACCCAGGGTGCTGTTGGCACAAGCGGTGCCACCGGTGCTACCAGTGCTCCTGGTGCTGGTGCCGCCGCCGCTGCTGCTGCTGATACCACTGGTGCTGGTACTAATGCTGGTACTACTTCTGTTGCTGCTGTCACGAGTCCACGGGATTGGTTACTGGAGCTCCCTCGATTTGGCATTCTAGCTGCTGTTGCTTCAGGCGTAGATATTTTTGGAGGCAGTTCGGGAGAAGCGGGTCAAGGGGGTAAGGATATGGGAATGGGGGTGGGGAAGGGGGTGGCAGCTGATGGGAGAGGGAGTAGTGGGGGTTTAGGACTGGATGGGAAGGAAGGGGGCGCGAGGATTGGGGGTGGTGGGGGAGTGGGGAGGGACGGCGGGGGAAACGGTGGAGGGAGGAGTAAGGGTGAGGAGGGGGGGAGTAAGAGGAAGAGGACGAGGGAGGAGCGGGAGGGGAGGAGAGATGAGAAGGAGGGGAAGAGGGAGGATCGGGAGGGGAGGCGAGAGGAGAAGGAGGCGAGGAGGGAGAAACGGAGGAAGGAGAAGGAGGAGAAGGAGAGGGAAAGGGAGAAAGAGAAGGGTAGGCATAAGGAGAAAGAGAAAGATAGGGAGAAGGAGAAGGAGAAGGAAGAGGGGGGAAAGGGGAGGGAGAAAGATAGGCATAGGGAGAAGGACAAGGGGAAGGATAGGGATAAAGAGAAGGACAAAGAGAGAGACAAAGAGAAGGATAAAGAGAGGGACAAGGAGAGGGATAGAGAAAAGGAAAGGGATAAGGAGAGAAGCAAGACGAAGGGGGAGAAAGGATCGTCTTCCCACAGGCATCGGCACCACCATCATCACCACCACTCAAGTCGGACCCACTCCTCTCCCTCACACTCTCCCTCTCATTCCCCCTCGCAATCTCCCTCACATTCCCCCTCCACGTCCCCGGCTCATGTTCCTGCAGAAGCTTCTGCCATGCCTGTGGAAGCTTCCTCTGTGCCCATGGAAGCTTCTGCCATGCGTGTGGAAGCTTCCTCTGTGCCCATGGAAGCTTCTGCCATGCCTGTTGAAGCTTCCACGATGCCTGTTGACTCTTTTCCAAACCCTCCTCTGTCAAAGCATGATCAGCCTATGGCCAGCAATTCAGAAGCAGCGCAATCAGCGGCAGCAACAGTAGTGGCACCAGCAGCAGCTGTGGCAGCAACAGTAGCAGCACCAGGAACAGAAACAGAAACAGTAGTGGCAGCAGCCGCAGCTGCAGCATCAACACCAGTAACAACACTAGAAGCTTCTGTCGATCCAACTTCTATCGAAGTTGAAACACTGGCAGAACGAACAGGAGCGGGAGCAGAAGCAGGAGGAGGAGAATCAACAAGAGCACAGAAGGAGGGAGGAGCAAGAGCGCAAGAGGCATCAACATCTTCTGCTGCGGATGGTGGGACGGGTAGCGACAATGCGGAAAATGACTCACCTGCGACTGTTGGTACTGCCAACAATACTAGATGTGATGATGCTCCATCGACTGCTGCTGCAACTGGCGTTTCTGCTGGTGATGCATGTACCACGAATCTTGTTGCTGCTGCTGCTGCTGTTGCTGTTGGTGGTGCTGATTCAGGTACCAGTAAATCTGCTTCTTTAGCAGTGAACAAACGAGCAGCGGCAGAAGGAGCAGCAGCAGCAGCAGCAACAGCACCTGCAACACCAGCAGCAGCATTAGCAGCAGGAAAAGGAGAAGTTCGGAAAGAGGGTGAGGAGAGGGAGGAGGGTGAAGCAGCTATTGTGGCAACAGAAGAGCAAAGCACGGCCAAGGCAGATGGGGAGATTGCGCCTTCCATTCTCCCTCCTGCTCCTGCTCCTGCTGCTGCTGCTGCTGCTGCTGCTACCCCTGTTCCTGTTATTGCTGCTGTTTCTTCTACCCCTGCCTCTTCCACACCTTCTGCTGCTGCTCCCGCGTCTGCTGATTCTGGCACTGACATGAGTGGAGGTAAGGAACAAAGAGTGGGTGGTGGTGACACAAGTAAGGACACACGAGGCACCATGAAAAGTACACGAGGGGCGGAAGGAGAGGCCCCAGCAGCACCAGCAGCAGGAGCAGCAATACAAGCAGGGGCAGAAACACCACCAGCAGCAGCAGCAGCAGCAGCAGCAGCAGCAGCAGCAGCAGCAACAGCAGCAGCATGGAAGCACCGGCACTCAAGAGCGCATGTGTGTGTGGGAGCTGGGTTGCTGGAGTGGTTGCTACTGCGTCTGACAGGGGTTGGAAGAGAGGGGGGCGCGGTAAGGGCTGTGGGGATGGGAGGGTGTGGAGAAAAGAGGGAAAGCTGGGTGTGGGAGAGCCGGCTTGGGGACTGGGTGCAGGAAGGAAGGGGGAGAGAGAGTGGGAAGGAGAATGGAAGTGGGAGTGGGGTTGGGAGTGGGGGTGGGAGTGCGGGTGTTGCTGATGGTGGTGGTGGTTTTGCATGTGCTGATATGAGCCTATGGCCTGGGGAGGAAGATGCATGGTGGGAAAGCCAGCAGCAGCAGCAGCAGCAGCAGCAGCAGCAGCAGCAGCAGCAGAAGCAGCAACCGGCACAGCCACAGGCACAACAGCAGGTGCAGCAGCAGGCGCAGCAGCAGCAGCTGCTACTGTGGGGGCAGGATCCGCTGCTACCGCTGCCACAGCTGCTGTTATCCCAACACCCTAACCCACACATAAACTCTCACCAGCAGCAGCTGCAGCAGCAGTGGCAGTTACAGCTTCCGTACGGCCAGGCCTCAACAGCAACAGCAGCAGCGGCCACAGCACTTGCAGGATCCAAAGCAGGAGCAGCAGGCGCTAATAGTGGTGGTGGTGTGGGTGGGGGTGGGGGAGAGGGAGATGCAGAAGGAGAGGCATGGGTGTGGCTGTTGTGCCTTGCAGACGTTGCTTTCAGCCGACAGGACCACCTCTCTGCTCTCCGCCTCTACCTCCTTGTTAGTCCCCCTCTCCCTCATCCTCCCAACCCTCCCCCTCTCTCATTCTCGTCCCCCAGACTCCTCCTTCCCCATTCGTATGTACCCTTGATTTGTTATGTGTTTCCCATTTGTTCCATATCGTGTCTTAGTCTAGTCCCTCCCCACTCATCCTTCTGCTTCCACGTCTGCTTCCCCTGCTCCCGCCCTCATGCTCTCAATCCCTCACCCCCACCGTTTCGCCCTCTCACTCTATCACCCTTCCCTCCGCAGTCTCTCCCACTGCGCAGCATTCATGTTTTGAGCTGACTCAAATCAAATGTACTCTCGCCCTCTCACCCTCTTGACCCCCCACCCCCTCACTCTCTCGCCCTTCCCTCCTCTGTCGCTCCTGGTGTGCAACAGGCGGGCCGGTAGGCCACGCGAGGATTCTGGGACAACAACCCTGCGGCTGCCATCGGGGGGTGAAGCAGTGGATATTATAAACGTCTCAGAAGTCATTTCACCCTCTCACCCTTCCCCTTTCCCTCTCGTTTGCTGTGCAACAGGCGGGCCAGTCAGCCACTCGAGGGTTCTGGGACAACAACCCTGCGACGGCCAACGGGGGCAGCAACAGAGGCTATTTGAAGGTTCTCACAAGTCCTCTCGCCCTCTCACCCTGTCGACCGCTCACGCTTTCACTCTCTCGCCCCCTCACTCTTTCGCCCTCCCCTGTGACAGGCGGGCCAGTCAGCCACGCGGGGATTCTGGGACAACAACCCTGCAACGGCCAACGGGGGCAGCAGCAGAGGCAGCATGGCACGGCAGGCAGTGCAGGCAACGATCTCCCTCGGCCAAACCCTCCGCTCTCTCCTCCCCTCCATGAGTGAACATGCCAGTGCTGGCTGTGGTGGCAGTGGTGCTGTTGCTGGTGTGGGGTTGGGAGCAGGAATGGGAATGGGGAGGGGAAGGGGGAGGGGGATGGGGATGGGGATGGGTGGAGGAATGGGAAGAGGGGCAGGGGTTCCTGTGAGTGGGATGGGGCCAGGTGTTGGTGCTGCTGCTACTGCCACTGCCACTACCACTACTGCTGCTGCTGCTACTGGTGGCGTTGGCAGTGGTATTGCTGCTAGTGGTGGCAGTGGAATGAGCAGCACTTGGCTGGATACACATGCTGCTGCTGCTGCTGGTACTGTCATGCTGCCTGCCAATAGCTCGGCTCTACCACGTGTATTCTCACCCTGGGTGGTACGTGCTTCCCTTCCCTCTCACACTGTCCTCGCTGCACCTCTTCCCTCTGCACCTGGTCCCTCTGCACCACTTCGTAACGCACTTTCTCACCTCTCTACGTTCTCTCCATTCACCCCCTTTGTTCCAACTTCATCACATGCTCGTTGCTCTCGGTGCTGCGCCTCCCTCTTCCCCGCTCTCCCCCCTTCCCCCCTCCCCACTCCTCCCTCCCCCCGCATCCCCCCCCCCCCCCCAATCAGCTGCGGCGCATGCTGCTGGCTCTCAGGGCGGTGGGTGCCAATCTCCCAGCGGCCGTGCTGTGCCAGCTGCTGCCAGCGCCACCCTACTCTCAGGCCCACACAGTTGACCCTTTTAGAAGCGCCTTTCGGCTCTCTATCTCTCGCCCCTTCTCCCTCCTCCGGTCGCTTTCCTCTCTCCTATCTCATTCAACCCCTTCCTCTTCCTCCCTCTCCCCTCCCCCCCCCCCTTCCCCCCCACAAATCAGCTGCGGCGCATGCTGCTGGCTCTCAGGGCGGTGGGCGCCAATCTACCAGCAACCGTGCTGTGCCAGCTGCACTGCTTTCCCAGCCGCTGTGAGCCCCTTTCGAGAGCTTTCCACTCCCCCCTCTTCCCCATCTCCCATTCTTCTCCCCCCAATCAGCTGCGGCACATGCTGCTGGCTCTCAGGGCGGTGGGCGCCAATCTCCCAGCAGCCGTGCTGTGCCAGCTGCTGCCAGCGCCATACCTGCCTCTCGCCTTCCACCTCCTCTCCTCCTCACCGCTGCTCGACTCCGCCACCACACACGCGTACATCCAGTGCATCTGGGAGGTGAGTCATCAAAAGAGGATGGCTCTTGGAAAATGCTTGTGGCTTTCTTTCCTCCTCACCACTCCTTGACTCCGCCACCACACATGCGTACATCCAGTGCATCTGGGAGGTGAGAGCTAGCAGTAAGGAATTAATGTTCTAGACGGCTCAAAGGTTGTGCTTCGACTCCGCCACCACACACGCGTACATCCAGTGCATCTGGGAGGTGGGTGAGCGTTCACTTTTGGGTTGACTCAAAAGGTGAGAGTCATGGGTTCTGGTCCATCGCAAAATTTGTATCTTGACTCTTCCACCACATACGCATACATCCAGTGCATCTGGGAGGTGAGTCATTGGAAGGCCATGGTTCTCATAGAATGCATTACACACACACACACACGCACGCACGCACCCACACACACACACACACACACACACACACACACACGCACACACACATGCATATGTCTATCTGTATAAGCAGCAGGCGGCACCACAACACTAGCACTTGTGCTCACCTCCCTCCGTCTCGCTTCCTATATCACCCCAATCAGGTGCCTCTGCTGGAGCTGCTAGCCAGTCGCTTGGAAGCAGCAGGCGACACAGCCGCGCTAGCATTTATCGCTTCCCCCCTCCCATCCCCCCTTCCCCCCCCCCCCCCTCCCCCCCTCCCCCTCCGCCCCCCAACCCCCATCAGGTGCCTCTGCTGGAGCTTCTTGCCAGTCGCTTGGAAGCAGCAGGCGACACAGCCACGCTAGCGCTCGTGCTCTCAGTGCTTGCGCTGCCCTCCTGCAATGCACACAACCCGCCCTTTGTGCGCCGCGCACACGTGCGCCGCTGCTCCCTGCGATTCTTCCGCCTGCTGGCCTCGCAGCTGGGAGCAGGAGGGGAGTTCAGGGGGTAGGTTCCGGGTTACGGTTCCAGGGTTAGGGTTTGAGAGTTAGGGTTTTTTGTTTGGAGGCTGATGTGTGAGTCTCACATTGTCGCTGATTGCTGTTTCGGCTGGGTCTGCTTTTGGTCTGTTTTTATGCCTGACATCATGGCTGCTTCCGCAATTACCTCGGCACTCCTTGGTTGGTTCTCACTTGTCGATCGCAGGGGCGGGGGGGGGGGGGGGGGGGGGGGTTGGGGGGGGTTGTGACACGGTGGCCTATGTCTCATGTTTTATCACAGAAAATGTGCTTGCGAAAGGGTATTTTAGTAGTTGCATTCTAGACTTATTTAAGCCTGTATCTGCTCTGCATCCCTACAGGCAAAAGCATGTCTGATTGCCCACTTAGGGTGATTCAAGCTTCTGTATCGAAGCTGGTCGAAGTTGTATGTTTGTATGCTCCTTGCCCCCTCACTCCGAACAAGAGAACAGACCAAGGGGTGGAGCTTATCCAAATCAACCCAACCTAACCCAGCCTAAACCAATCCAAACTATCATTAGTTGTTTATCGCCCAGACGTGCTCCGTGCCATCCGAGCGCCACATCCACAACCAACCAGCCAGCGCTGAGGAACAAGAACCGCTGGATCTTATCGTACGGGCCTCGATTGTCCAAAGTTGGAGATATTTTTTTAGCATTCCCGAATCCCGATATTGCGCTGGGGAAAAAGTGCAGACTGCGCGGGAAATTTGGTTTGGGAGAACGCCTTGACTTGAACCAAGGTAATTTGGCCAAGCATGCCGCAAGACTCTAATTCCGCTCCCTGGACCAGACGTCGATAGTGCCGATTAGTACAACGCTATACCATAGAAACTTCCAGTCTGCATATATGTATTTCGAGGCCCCTCTTAGATCTGTAACCACGCGTAAACGCTTTATATGTGTTTTTATTATTTCTCCGACCCTGAACTAGCGCTCGTGGCGAGCCAGTCTTCAATGGTCACTGCCACACCGCCTTCTCTATGCACCTGACTTCGCGCGCAGGTTCAAACCGCTGCAGCCGAACGCACCTGCACCTGAATCTAGCGTAATGTTGTTGTCGAGATAGGTTATTCTTTTCCCTACTAGAGACTGCGACCCTGGCATAAATTTTCCTCCATTGCAAAAGCGTCAGCTGTCTTGTGCTGCCCTCTTTCCTTGGATACCAATCTTCGCACGTGTCTCCCTCTTTCCGCCTATTTTCCCCTGTCTTCCCGCGTATCGCCTTCCTCCGAATCTCCCCAGACCTCCCCTTTTCCCGCAAACTTCCTGCTAATGCTGCCAATGTCCGCTTCCGCCTGTTCCGCCACTCTCCTCCCCGCAGCCCCCCCCCGCTGCGCCATCCCCCAGTCCTCCGCTTCCGCGTACTCCCCCGTCCCCTCAGCATCCAATCGCTGCCGTTCACCTCACGCTCTTAAAAAAATCAACCGTTCCCCCGCATTCCACGGCAACCCAGTCCTTCGCCTCAACGCGCCTCGGTTACATCTAAGAAATCTCCGGAGCGACTCCCGTATGTCAACCAACGGCAACGCTTCCGCTGTCGTTAATATCAACGTGTCTCTTCTCTCGCCGTCGACCTCCCGCCGCCGTGCTGCGCAGTCTCCGCCTCCACTGCTTGCGGGGCCAACCGCCGCCGTCGGCGGCGGCGGCGGCGGAAGCGGCGGCGTGTGGGCGCGCGCGGGCGCGGAGAGGCGCGGAGGGGAGAGTGCGGAAGACGCGGGGCAGGATACCCCTTTCCTTAGCGGAAGCGGAAGGGTGCGGCCGGGGAGTGTCGCGGCATGCGCGGGGAACGACGGGCGGGCGTACGCACCCGTTGACCAGGAGCGCGCGGACAAAGCGGAGAGCGGTCAGGGCGGAGGGGGAGCGAGCGCGAGCGCGGGTGGGGTAGACGCGGAGCTGGTGTGCGGAGGAGGAGGGGAGGCGGAAGAGCATTTGTCGTCTTCTGGGCGGACATTGGGCAATCTGATCATATCTATCGTGGGCGCAGGTGGGCGGGCAGATGGGTAGGTAACAGGATAACAGGGTAACAAGTGTAACAGGGTTACTGGTAACAGCCGCTGTCAGTAGCAGCCTAGCAGATGGGAGATTCCTGTTCCACCGGCCTCGTTCTACTTCGGCCTTGTTGTTTTACCCCGCCACATGGAGCAAAGAGCATAGGAAGCGTCATGTCGACCAGTCATCATGGCGTGTGTGTGACTACTGGCCGAATTTTGTATGTCTTCCACCCCTCTTCCTTTCCCCCCCTCTCCCCGTCTCCCCCCCAGGCGTGCTGGGCCTGCCCTATGCGTTCATGCGCTCGGGCTGGCTCGTGTCCCTCGTCTCTCTCGCCGCCACGGCTGCTCTCACCCACCGCGGCATGCACCTGCTGCTCGCCGCGCGCGCCCTGCAGGAAGACTGGGAGGCGGAGAAACGACAGCAGCAGCAGCAGGCCGGGCTGCTGCTGCCGCAGCAGAAGCAGACGCAGCAGCAGAAGCTGCAGAAGCAGGGGCGGATGCAGGAGGTAAAGGTAGTAGGAGATGATGGAAAGGAGGGTGTGGAGCAGCAGCGGGGAGGTGGAGGAGAGACGGATTTGCTGCTTGTCAAAGCAAGCACGGAGCCATCAACACCACCAGCAGCACCGTCAGTACCAGCAGCTGCAAAACCAGCAGACGAAACAGGGCAGGCTACTACCACCACCACCACCAGCAGCAGCACAGCCATTGCCAGCAGGGTGGGGGGCAAGGTGCGGTCGTACGGGGACCTGGGTGAGCGAGTGTATGGAGCGGTGGGGCGCGGTGCAGTGGACGCCATGGTGCTGGTCAGTCAGGGCGGCTTCTGTGCTGTCTTCCTGGTGTTCATGGGTCACAACGTCGCCAGTGTGCTCTGGGGCTCCACGCTGGAGTCTTCACTCGTCATTGCCGTTATTGGTGAGTTGAGTTGCCACGGATAGTTGTGCTGTGCCGCAGAGGAGGGAAGTTACCACGTGGGGCCTACCACGTGGGGCCTACCACGTGGGGGCTACCACGTGGGGCCTACCACGTGGGGGCTACCACGTGGGGGCTACCACGTGGGGCCTACCATGTGGGGGCTACCACGTGGGGCCTACCATGTGGGGGCTACCACGTGGGGCCTACCCCGTGGGGGGTTTGGTTGGCATCTGGTGCTTCTGTGGCGTGTTCTTCGTGCTCATGGGTCACAACGTTGCCAGTGTGCTCTGAGGCTCCACCCTCCGCTCCTCCCTTGTCATCGTCACCATCCACGGGTTACCATTGCTGGGTTACCATTGCTGGGTTGCTATTGCTGGGTTACCCACTGTGCTATCTCTACCTTTGTACGCATGTCCCCACCACCCATACCACTACCATACCCCCACCACCCATACCCCCACCACCCATGCCCCCACTACCTGTACCCCCCAATACCCGTCCTCCCACCAGCCCCCCTCCAGGTCATGCTGTCGTGGCTGCCGTCCCTCACCCAACTCGCCCCTTTCAGGTGCGCTTTTTAACCCAACCCAACCCAACCCCGTCTAGCACATCTCTTCAAAGCCTCTCCACTCAGCAGCAGACTTCCCTCACCTGAAGTTGTTGTTGAGAACACTTTTGAGGCTGCCGCAAGTGTTGAGAATGCTATTGTCAGCAAGGCCCCCTTCCTTCCACCACTTCCATCACTTCATATCGCCTCTTATTTCTTTCCCTCCCTTCATTTCTTCCTCTTTAATGGTCACATCTCAAAACTCTGCCTCCCACCCCTCTCCACTCCTCTCCACTCCTCTTCACCCATGTCCACCCCTCCGCAACCAGCATCTTTGCCAACTGTGTCAACCTCTGTGCCTTCTCCCTCGTAATCTACCACGGCCTCCATTCCTTCCAAGGCCTCAACTCTCTCTCCGCCTTCACCACCCTCCAAGACGCACCCTTTGCCTTTGGCGTCGCCACCTACGCACTCAACGGCGCAGGCATGACTCTCTCTGTCGAATCCTCCATGCGTGACCGTGCACAGTTCCCCGCCGTACTCGCTACAGGCCTCTCCGTCATCTCGGTACTATACGCCGCCGTCGGCACGGCCGGGTATTTTGGTTTCGGGAACGAGACGAAGGAGATTGTGACGCTGAATTTGCCGCCCGGGTGGCAGAGCGTGGCAGTAAAGCTCGGCGTGTGTGTCGCTCTGTTCTTCACTTTCCCAGTCATGATGACCCCCGTGCATGAAATGGCCGAGCGATATCTCTCCTCCTCTCGAGACATATACAACAGCTTCCTCTCGCCCTCCGTTGCTCCCTCCCGCCGCCGGCTATTCGTCTGCTTTGTCCGTTCACTGACAGTGCTTTTCATTGTGCTGCTATCGGTGTCGGTGCCGCATATTGGCGCATTCATCTCCCTTATAGGCTGCAGCGTTTGCTCCGCGTTAGGGTTTGTCGTTCCCGCTCTGTTTCACATGAAGGCTGCAAGAGGGAAGTTGGAGAATTCCGCAGTGGTGGTAGATTGGTTCCTGGTTGGATTCGGTGTAGTTTTCGGGTTATGGGGCACTTGGAATGCATTGCAGCAAATGCTTGTTTAATAAGCAACACTGGTTGTACGAATGACTCGTTTTGCTTCTCAAGGCGATCTACCGTAACAGTTTTTATTACTGGTAAGTTGTTGCAGTACATGCATAAAGGAAAAGTAATAACGGGTAAGGGTGAGATGTATGCATATGTACGGTCAATAAGTGCTAAGAGCTGAGGAAGCAAGGGAAGGAGAGACAGGGACGGAGGATGAAAGGGAATAGGATAGGAAATTGCCAACTAGGGCAACAAACAAGCTACTACCACTCAACAGCTGCTGCATAAGCGCATGGCTGCTCGTCACCCCTAGGTTCTGGTTCGCAGGAAGAAGAGAAAGCACGAGCTACTACCAAAAGTATAGGGAGCAAAAAGCAGGCTACACTACATGCATCAGTCTCTGAATATATTTAAACTCCTGCATGAGGCGTTTACCGTACCCTGACTGCAACAGAGAGTACTGTGACACTGTTTTGCAGCTGAACCCGGCATAGAGTGTCATGGATTGGCTGTGTGTCTTATGGATTGGCAAAGTTGAACAACCGGCCCCGATGGAGGATGAGGAGGGGTGCGCGGAGATCGGCAGAGGTGGGGTGAGAAGAGGGGAGATGGGAGAAGCGGCGAGGGGAAATGAGTGTGCTACCACTCCTCCTGAGGATTCTCGAAACTGATGGAAAGGAGGGAGACGGGCGGTGCGGGTGGCGATTACCGAAGAGGAATGAGGAAGAGAGGCGCCTCAAGAGATAAGTTGGGTGGGAATTAACGAGAAGGAAGGAGGAGGTGAAGCAGCAGCATAATGAGCATCAAGTCCTCCTGCAAGTCCAACCACCTTCATTCTCCAATCTCCATTCTCCATTCTCTCTCACACCATCATCCCGCCATCCATCCAACCAACGAATCAACCAACCAATCAATCAATTAGTCAATCAATCCCCGAGTCATCATCCGACTGCCGTGCAGCCATGTCCTCTGCCCTCCGCGCATCTCCTGCCTTCCTCCTCACGCGTCCCTTCACCTTCCGCCTCTGCCCCTCCACACTATCCTCCTCGTCCGGAGAGTACCCCCCCACCTCCTCCCCTGCTGCGCTCGCCCCCCCCTCCCTCTCCGACCCTTCCTCCCCCACACTCGCCCCCCCCCCACCTGCCAGAGCAGCCGCCTTAGCACCCATGCCCTGTGCTCTACCACCCACCATTGATCCTCCTATTCCTCCTCCGTCTCCTCCTCCTCCTCCTCCTCCCCCTCCTCCTCCGCCTCCCCCTCCTCCCCCTCCCCCTTCGCCTCCCCCTGATGATCCTTCCCCGCTTTCTCCTCCGCCTCCACCTCTGCCCCTCTCCGCCCCTCCCCTTCCCCCAGCTCCTGCTCCCCCAGTCCCCCTCCCCCCCGCGCCTGCGCCTGCGCCTGCGCCTGTCCCTGCTCCCCCTGCTCCTCCCCCAACTCTCCCCCCCGTTCCGCCCATGCCTCCCCCTTCCTGCCTTCCCGGCCTGGCAGCAGTGCCCCCTACAGTCCTTCCCGTTACAGTCACACCCACCCCAGCACCACCACCACCGGTTCCCACACCAGCAGAAGCACCAGCAGAACCGGCAGCAGCAGCAGCGGCAGCAGCAGCTTCCCCGGACCGGGTCTGCCAGTCCGGGGCCATCCAGAGCTCCCGGCGCGAGCTCGGAGCTCCGGGATAGTCGCTGTCCGAGCCTGAGGTGTAGGTTCGGTCGTCCGCTGCAAACGCAGCGTCTCTCCACGCAGCAGCGGAAAGCCCTACCCCAGGACCCACCTCCCTGCTCCCCACCGACGCCGTACCATCCTCTGCTGCTGCTGACGAGCTATCCCCGTCCCCGTCCCCATCCCCATTCCTATCCACTCTTCCCGCCGCCGTTCCCGTTGAATTCAGGGCCGTGGTGGGGTCGTCGTGAGTCGCGGTCAGCCCTTCCCTGAGTGCGGTCGGCTGTGTTCTGGTGCCGTGCGATGCGTTGTGAAGCAGGAGAGAGGAAGCGGTAAGCCCATTACTTGCGGCACCAATGGAAGGGGAAGCACCGCTGCTGCTGCTGCTGCTGCTGCTGCTGGTGGTGCCAGCACCAGGAGCACCCGCGGCGGCGGCGGCGGTAGCGCTAGCAGAAGCAGCGGCGGCGGCGGCGGCGGCAGATCTCTCGTCCCCACCACCAACTCCCCTTCCGCCGGCTTCTACGCCCGCCTGCGCCGCGTGCGCGCCCCCCTCCCCCGCGCCCGCGTGGCGCCAGCGCGGGCTGCGCGTAGCAGGCGCGCGGAACCCCCCGTTCGCATGCGCCATTGCGCGCGTGTGGACTTGCGCCAGCGGCTGCACAGACGCGCGGGATTGCGGGTGCGAGTGTCCGTACCCGTGCCCGTGCGCGTGCGCGTGTCCCTGCGCGTTGGCGGAAAGCGGAACTTGCATCTGGCCCGCGGATCCTCCCGCAATGCCCGCCGATGCTGTGCCTGCCTCCGCCTCGACCCCTCCCCAAATTCCCACGATTTCCGCCCCTCCGCCCGCACTCGCCCCGACACCCGCTCCGCCATCCTCCCGCTCCTCCTCCGCAATCCGCCGCATTCCTACTCCGCCTGCCCCCGCGTTCCCCTGCTCTCGGCGTGCCGCCATGCGCATCGAGCGCCGTGCGGACCCGCCGTGCCGCGCGGACGACGCCTGCGACGGCTGAGACGATTGCGCGGAACCCGCGGAAGCCGCTGCGCCGGATCCCGCTATGGCCGCCACAGCCGCTGCCGCCGCCGACTCCACTTCCAGGCGCCCGCTGCGCCCGCTGGACCCCAAGGCGGCGGGGAAGCTTGCGCCGCCTGCGCCGCGCTTGTAGTGCGCGGACGCGTAGTTCCCCCCGCGCTTCCCGCAGGGCCCCGCGCCCGCCTTAACATCCGCCTCGTCGGATGCAAAGCCGTCGGAGTAGGAATACGAATGGGAGTGGCCCATGCGAGCAGATGACGAACAGGGAGAGGCGGGTTCTGAGTCGCCATCGTCGTCGTCGTCGTCGCTGGCGTGCTGTACGACGTCGCCTGTTACCTCCCGCGCAGGATTACCCTCTCCGCTTGCCCCGTTTGTCCCGTTTGTCGCTTTCTGCTTGTCGTTGACTCCGTTGACCGCCGGGGACTCGGAGAGACCATTGGGTGAAAGCGAGGTGTTATCTTGTGAGGCGATGGCGAGTCCTGCGACGGCGGTGGCGACGGTAGTCGTTGCAAGCGCGTCGCCTACGTTCGGAGGCTCTGTGCTCGACGACATCTCTGGAAGATGGTCACAGGGCGAGGAAGGAGAGACGGAGAGTCCAAACCTGTATACGAGGTAAGGGGAAAATGGTAATTATCCGATAAGGAAGAGTAGGTGTGGAATGTGGTCTCTTAGAACCTAGGGATTTTCGTAGAGGGTGGTGCTGTGCTACTGCTGAGATGGAGAGGGAAATTCAGTGATAGATGCATCAAGTTTGCCTCTACTGTACTGTGTTTGCGAATCGGTGGAGCGTAGGAGAGCACCCACAGGGGAGGAGAAAAGGGTTTCTTGGGAATTGGAAAAGGTGGGAGGGAGGAAGGGGAACTGGGAATACCTGGGATGTTTTGCCGAGGCCGGCTGACTTCTAGGTTTTCTAACCTTGGGTTTCGGCGACTGGTTTCCCTGCACTCTCAAGGGTCTTGACTCTCAAAATTTTTGCCAGAGAGGAAAGGTCCAATTGGGATGTTGACTGTTGGGATGATTCCTGGGTCATGCCCGACCTGACCTCAGGTCACCGCGAGCTTGGACGCTCTGATGATGGAGCTCGGAAAATCCGAGTTGGAGGCTTGGCAGCTCTGACACGAAGTCTGACACGAGCCCCGTGACGGATGTGCAAGTGTCACCACAACCGCTCAATTTCCAAACCATCCTTCCCGGACTTCAGAGGTGGGTGTGCAGAAAGGCTGGATGATCATGTCGAGAGAGTTTTGCTCAATCCCGCGTAGTCGTGGTTTGTTTTATTATCGCCAAGTGGCATGCCTTCGATCGCGTGAACCGCGATCTGTTTTATTGTTATCACAAACCTCAAGAGAAAATTAGTTAAGTTCTGTACTGCGCTGCCCGGGGCAAAAATAAAACCTATTTGGGCCTGGCATGCGTTAGGGAGGCATCAACCCTAAACGCCTTGCCTCTAGGTGTTTAGGGTTGATGCATCCCTAACGCATGCCTTACCTATAGGGGTTTTATTTTTGCCCCGGGCAGCGCAGTACAGAACATAGCTAATTTTCTCTTGAGGTTTGTGATAACAATTAAACAGATCGCGGTTCACGCGATCATAGGCTCGCCACATGGCAAAAATAAGCCAAACCGCGCTTCCGCGGGATTGAGCAAATTTCTCTCATGTCGAGGTAAGGTGGGGTTACAGGGGGAACCCCCTTTGGTATACCCAGGCTGTCGGTCGTAACCCGCCTCCCCATTTGTTTACACGCCTCGCCGGGTTACGAAGTTGTTCTTTCCACGCCCAGATGGGCACCTGTGTAGCCCCTTTAGTGGGGGCTGTCTGTAAACGCCGCGGGGGAGAATTGATCCCGGGACCTGAACTTTCGGGGAGCGCCAGTGCTCTTTTTGGGGATATGAGAAAACGAAAACGCCGCACAGGCATCAGTGGAAGCGCGGATTCCCTCCACTTCCGTCCCGATTCCGTTGGGCAGGTGGAAGAATTCTGGTAGGTCCACAATTTGGCTGGGTCCATGAAAACCGCCACTCGCACGCTGCCAGGTGGCACTAAAACCACGTCTGCCAGCATTGGTGACACAGTCGCACCATTCGAAGATGCAGCATTCATGCAATCCAGCAGTACATAGAATGTAAGTTATGAGAAGAACGAGGTATTCAAAACCGACAGATTTATTATATTCTACAAGAAAATTCGCCCTAATCCAGCATGTTACCTTTTTCCACACCCCAAACCCGAATTCCCTCTAAATGCTGATGCACCTTCTCACTTGCGATCCCGGAACGAAACGCCCGCATGCATGCCGCCGCCGCCTCCTACGATCTGCTTCATGCCTGACGGCTAGGTAGGACATGCTGCGTCTAGCGTGGTGCTCTACGGCGGATGCGGCAGCTTCCGCGAAACTCACGGCAGCAGCAGCAGCAGCAGCAGCAGCAGCAGCAGCAGTCGCGCGTCAGTCGTACGAACGACCTTTCACCGTGAACGTGAACGTCCCGTTCCGCACCATGATCCCTTACGTTGCGCTCTCCGCGTCCCCGTCCGCATCTCCCTCCGCAACAACCGCGCGCTCTTGCGCGCGTCCTCGTTATAGAGAACCTTTGAGCTCGGCGAATGTCGCGCGAGCCAGTGTATTTGCGGGCCGCGTTATCCAATCTCAGAGCATGCGCTTTCTTCCCGCCACTTTGAGCTCTTCCGTAGCTCCGCCGTGTTGTGCGTATTACACTCAGGCTAACTCCCCGAGCTCGTACGCGCACCCACCGATCAACAGTCACTCGGCAGCGTCGCATTCGCTACTGTCACCCTCGCCCGGCTCGTTGCTTCACGACCCCAGGAGCTTCTTCCCGTTTGTGACACCTTCGCACTCGCGGAGGCACACGGGAGGACCCCGAGCGGAGCGCGGGGGGAAGCGGGGATGGGGGGAGGATCGGTGGAGAGGCAGGGCGGAAGACCGGCGCGGATGGGGGGAGAGTCGGGGTTCCGCGCGAGAGGGGGAGCGCGCATGGGGAGACGATCCGCGGAGCCGCCAGGAGCCTTTTGAGATTTCCCAAAGGCGCGGGAGCGCCGGCGGCGGCAGGCGAGCACCGCCGCCTTTTCGCGAGGAAGCGAGTCGTCCTGTATCGGAGATAGATTTTGACGAGCGGGGCGTCGGGCGCGGCAGCCACTCGTTTTTTGCCACGTGTGCGCCGGGGCTAGAGGCGGTGGTTGCGGAGGAGCTCCAGTCGCGGCTGATTGGCGCATGGGACGTGGTTCCGGGAAAAGCGGGCGTGGCGTTTCAAGGCTCGACGGAAACGGCGTACAGGTGAGTGAGGAAGCGAGATAGTGAAGGAGTGAGTGAGTAAGTGTGCAAGGGTTTAAGCAACGAGTTTCTTGTTGAACACCTTTTCCTTTGCGCCCCAGGTTTTCCGTGGTGCAGGGTTCAGGATTTAAGGTTTTGCAACTGGTGTCAGTCTTGGGCGCTCCGAACCTGGTTGTCAGTCTTGGATACTTTGGCGAATTCATGTTCAAGAAACTTGAACTTGAAGGCCACCATTTTAGACTCGGGTTTTTTCCACTTCACGTTTTTTCCATCTTTTGCTCAACCTTTTCCCCCTTGCCCGTTCGCCTTATTACGCCCTTTCTTCCCCCTCCCCACCTCCTCCCTTGCTCCCCTGCTCCCCTTCCCCCTTCTGCCCCTTCCCCCCCCCGCGCCCCCCTCCCCCGCGGCATGCATCGCGCGCAGGGCCAATCTGTGGCTGCGCTGCGCGGTGCGCGTGCTGCACGAGGTGGCGGCGTGCAACCTGCGCGCGCGCTACGGCCGCGCGGATGGGGACTCGCTCTACCGCTTCATGCGCGCCGCCGCGGATTGGCCGAGCCTCTTAGCAGGCCCGGGGGAAATCGGCGAGGGAGAGGCGAGGGAAGTCGGGAGGAGGGGAGCAGTAGCAGGACGAGCAGTAGGGGGGGGAAACGTGTCAAGGCGCAAGCGCAAGCCAGTGACGTTTTCAGTGCAGAGCCGCGTGTGGGACTGCCCTGACATCCGCACGTCTCAGCTAGCCTCCACGCGCGCTAAGGACGCCATTTGCGACGCCATGCGGGACGCTCATAACGGGTACAAGCCCCCGGACCCGAGGGACTGGGCTGGGGGAGGGGGGGGAGCGGGCGGAGGGGGCAGAGGGGGCGAAAGGGACAGCAGGGGCGGCGGAAGGGGGGGTTTTGCGGACCAGTCAAACGAGTCAAGGGAGTCAACTTCCGAGCTACCACTGTTCCTTTCCTTATACCAAGAGAGGGCAGTCTTATATCGAGACATGAGTGGGCGCAGTTTGCACAAGCGGGGGTACCGGGATGCGATGCACAAGGCGAGCTTGAACGAAGGCGTGGCTGCTGGCGTGCTGATGCTGGCTGGGTGGCAGCAGGTGGCTTGGATCGGTGATGGGGAGGGGGATGGGGGAGGAGGGGAGAGGGGAGGGGAGAGGAGAGGGGAGAGGGGAGGGGAGAGGGGAGGAGGGAGGACGAGAGGAGGAGGGGAGGGGGAGGATTTGGTGGAGATGGGTAGAGATCCAGGCGCTTCAGATGCACAGGGCTCAGGAGGAGTTGCACCGTCACCATCACCATCGCCAGCATCAGCAGCAGCATCAGCAGCAACAGCAACAGCAGTAGCAGTACCACCACTATCCATTGCCCTGGTGGATCCCATGTGTGGCAGCGGCACTCTCCTCATAGAAGCAGCTCTCATGGCTTGCCGCATTGCCCCCGGCTCCTTCCGCTGCTCCTCCCAATATCCCTCCCCTTCCTCCTTCCCCTCCTCCTCTTCTTCCTCCTACTCCTCCCCCTCCTCCGCCTTCTCCTGGCCCTTCCACACGTGGCACGACTTTGACGCCGCCACGTGGCGCGCCGTGATTCGCGAGGCGGAGTCGCTCCGACGCACGCCGCCCGCGGGAGTGTCCTTCCACGGCAACGACGTCCACGAGGGCGCACTGGCGCTCTGCCAGCGCGACGCTGACAGGGCGGGCGTGGGGCGCTGGATCCAGCTCAGCAGGGGAGATTGCGAGGAGTACGTGCCAGCTGTCGCGCCGTCGTTGGTTGTCGTGAACCCGCCGTGGGGCACGAGGCTGGGAGAGACAAGGTGAGGAATCTTTTTTTTATTGCGATTGTTTCGAGCCAATGACTGGCTGACCTGTGGCGATTTTTCTGTATCCTCCAAATCTCTGCACTCTTATATCTTTTCTCCTCTGTCCTTTTCCCTTACCCCTCCACTACCCTCCCGCCCCCTCACCCTGTTATGCCACAACTCTTCCAGCGGAGAGGAGGGCCAATGGCTGGCTGACACGTGGCACCGCCTGGGTGTGTTCCTGCGCCGGCAGTGCAGGGGAGCAGAGGCGTTTGTGCTGAGCGGTAATGCTGCGGTAACACAAAAGCTATTTCTCAAGATGTCGCAGCGGTGGGCTGTGACGGTGGGAGGGATAGAGTGCCGCGTGCTTCGATACGTCATGCTGCCACCACCAGCACTAGCGGCAGCACCACCACCAGCACCAGCGGCAGCACCACCACCAGCACCAGCGGCAGCACCACCACCAGCACCAGCGACAGCAGCAGCAGCAGCTGTAAAAGAAGAGAGAGAAGGGGAGATGGGGATGGACTTGAAAGATGCAGAGCGGACAGGCTAGTAGGAGGGCCTGAGAGGATTTAGGAGTTAGGGTTGTATGGGGGATTTAGCCAGAGATGTGGCGTTGAGAGGTTCTGTTGGAATGGGCAGCAGCAGGTGATGCTGTGGGGTGTACCGTGCTCAGAAATTACTGGGTGAGAGTTGATCATGGATTGGCAGGAAGAGTGGCCATGGATATTACTTCACGTGGGAGAGTGAATGCTAAAAAAAAAAAAAATGAAAATGGAATGTTTGTTGGCGGCGTAAATGCATTCAAAATTTGAGCAGATAATTATCCCTAAGTGAGCTGGGGTGGTTGACGTAGAAAATTCATATAGATTCGGGTGTTTTACCGTCCTATATTATGTTACAGAAGCTTCTCATAGCTCCGCTAAAGACAGTTACCTGATCTCGCTGAGTCCTCGCACGCAGCCACGTCGACTCCAATCACCAGCTATCTCTGTCGCACGGCTCTCCTTGCCCGTGTCGCATCACGAGCGCAGTCGCTCATTTCGCCTCTGCTCTGCAGGTTTCGCTATCCCTACATTCCTTGTAGTATCCTCCTGCGAAAAGAGCCCCCCAATCGCCTCTCCTCGCCTCACCAGCAACATCACTCCTCTCTTTCGCTCTCCTCTCAGTCTCTCACTCTCACGCTCTTGTCTGTTACTTCCGCCAGGCATCATGGCGTTCTGCGTCTCTTGCCCCTCTGCGGAGATTCTCCACCCATGCACCCGCCCGCAAGCGCATACCTCCGCCGCCGGCGCATCCCGCTTGCGCCCCGCCTTCCGCGCCCAACTTGTCGCCGCGCTCCCCGCCTCTTCCGCCTTCCTGACGCGCGTACCGGTGCGCAGCGGCAGGTTGACACGTGTCGGTTCCACGTCCAGCCACGTGTCCAAGCGCGCAATAACTCCGCGCGCCACCGCGGAGGGAAGCGGGGGGAAGCCGCCGAGCGACGGCGAGACGTTTCTGGGAGTGTACGGGCCGTGGAAAATAGAAGAGTCGGACCGCACTGAGGTGATTATCTACTAGTCAACGAGTCTCGGACCGCATAAGTGTGCTTTAACTACCAGCCATTTATTAGCAGCAGCGGTAGGGTTGCTACGGCCTAGAGCACTGCCACCTACCTACCCCTCACCTCCCATATTGACTCACTTTTGAGAATTCTGGCAGTGAGGGGCTCAAAAGTGATTTCAATATGGTTGCTATGACCTAGAGCACTGCCACCTACCTACCCCTCACCTCCCCCCTCACCTCCCCCCTCACCTCCCCCACCACCTCCCCATCTCTCCTCACCTCTCCTGCAACCTAATATTCTTGTAACAGCCTTTCTTCCCATCCCCTCCCCTTCCCCACCTTCCTTCCTCGCCTCCCCTTCTCCTTCCTGTTCCCGTCTCCTTTACCGTCTCCCCCCCTCCCGTTTACCCAGCCCCTTCCCGTCCCCCTTTCCATTCCTCTCCCCCTCCCTTCTTCCCCCCCAACACCCCCACCTCACCCCCCCGCCCCCCCCCTCAATTGTTCTTATGACGAGGCAGGACGCCCCCCTGACGAGAATTCTTATATGAAGCACACTGCAACATGACGAGGCAGGACTCCTCCCCCCCTTTCTCACCCTCGCCCTCTTCACTTTTCCCAAGCCTGCTTTCCCCTTGACTGCCTTACTTACTTTCAGCCATCCCTTCCCCTTCCCTTTCCCCTTCAACTTCTCCTTTTCCTTTCCTCTTCCCCTTCCCCTTCCCCATCCCCTCCCTTAACCCCGCCTTCAGGTGTTCCTATACCGAGCAGGCCTCGTCACATTCCCTCTCCTTCCTCCTGGCAGCCTCCTCCCCCCTCCTCCCCCCTCCTCCCCCCTCCTCCCCCCTCGTCCCTCCTCGTCCCCCCTCCTCCCCCTCCTCCCCCCCGATTTCCCCCTCCTCCCCAGCGCCCTCGTCACTTCTCCCTCAACCTGGTATCCTTGTGACCGCTTTCTACCCCTCCCCCACCCCTTCCGCCACCCCTTGCCCTTTCCCTTCCCCCTTCCTCCCCTCTTTCCCGCCCTCCCCTCCCCTTCCCTTTCCCCCTCCCTCAGGTGTTCCTATACCGAGCAGGCCTCGTCACAGCATCCCTCTCCTTCCTCCTAGCAGCCTCTTCCGCCTTTCTCCCCCCGGACTCCCCCCTCCTCCCCCTCGCCCTCCCCGTCCTCGACCCTCTATTTGCGCTCGGCGCCGCAGGCCTAGGGACGTCCTTATTCCTAATCCACATCTATGTAACGCAGATTAAGAGGGCCCTGCAGCTGCTGTGGCTGGTGGGGGTGGTGGGGGCGGTGGCGCTGGCGGGGGGTTATGCGGGGAGGGAGGGCGTGGGGGTGGTGGAGTATGTGGTGGGGCATGGCGGAGGGGTGTGGGCCGTGGGGCCGCTGTTTGCTGCTCTCACTGGCTTGGTGTTTAAGGAAGGTGCGTGGATGCAGAGAGACTTTGATCTGATTTGATTTTATTTACTTTTACTTATTTGATTTGACTTGATGGTGGCTTGAGGGGAATGGACGGGAGGGGATGATGGATGGTGGTAGAGTTTGGATGGATGGATGGATGGATGGATGGATGGATGGTATCAAGCATCCTCCCCATGCAGTCCGTACGCCCCTTTCCACGTGACAGAAGTTTTATTTTGATATGTCTCAAGATCAACATCTTTTTTCTCCGCTCCAGGCAGTCCGTACGCCCCTTTCCACCCCATGCATCCATGCATCCTTTGCATCCATGCATCTATGCCTCACTGCACTCTGACTCTCCTCTGCTCTCAAATGGTCCTTTACTCTACTCTCTGTCTCTCCCCTGCTCCCTCTCTGACCTGCCAGGGCTGTGCTACGGCAAGCTAGAGGCGGCGCTGCTTGTGTTTGTCATCCCCACTCTACTGCTGGGCCACCTAGTAAGGCAACCACCACCACCATCACCACCACCACCACCACCACCATCACCACCACCGCCACCACCACCACAAGGTTTTGCACTGTAACTCCCTCACTCCATTCCCCCTTGACCGCCCCTCTCCCCTTTTCCTCCCTCTCCCCTGCATCCTTAACCCGAGGTCTTCAACGGGTTCCTTTGATACTGCCCAGCATACTGCCCAGCATACTGCCCAGCATACTGCCCAGCATACTGCCCAGCATACTGCCGGTCTTCCTCATGGCCATTGATCCAACGTGTTTCCCTGACCCCTCCTTTCCAGCCCCTACCCTTTGTCTGCCTAACCCACCATCTGTCACATCCCCCCTCCCATCCCCCCTCGCGTCCCCCCTCGAATCCCCCCTCGCATCCCCCCTCGCATCCCCCCTCACATCCCCCCTCGCATCCCCCCTCGCATCCCCCCTCGCATCTGTTAATGTTAGCCCTCAATCTCACATTTGTACTTGTACTTTTTATATCCTAGTTTAGTGTAGTTTGCACTTTGTGTTTGGTTGGGTGTACACCCACATCCCAACCAAACCCAAATGTGATCTCCAAGCGATCTCCAACCCACCAATTGGAGATTGCCTTGGGATTACCCCCAATTCCCTCCCCATCAATCCCTTGCTCATTTCTGATGTACTTAAAGAGCTTTGAGCTCACTACTAATGTATGGATTCTAAGCTCAAGTCTTAACAGCATCCCCGCTCGCATCCTGCATACTTCCACTCTGCCTCATGACCTTTGATCCAACATGTTTCCCTGACTCACCAGCCACTAGGTAGCTTAAATAAAGAAAAGGAGGGGAGCCCCCTTTTCCACTCCAGAATCCCCTTTTCCCCCTCTCTCTTTCTCTCCCTCTCTCCCTCTGTCACTCTCACCCCTCACCCTTTCGATCCCTCCCACTCCCCTTCTCCCCCTCCCTTTCAACTTCTCCTTCTCCTTCGCTCCTTCTCCCTCTCCCTCTTTCTCTCTCCGTCACCCACCATCCCTCACATCCCCCCTCTTCCTCTTCCTCATGGACGTGACATTGGAGAGGGGTCTCCTCGCTGTGTGGATGGCACTCTTTGCTCTTTGCTGACCCTGTCGCAGTGTGGATGGCACTCTTTGCTGACCTTGTTCCTGATGCTCTCTCTGCTGCTCTCCCTATGCCCTCTTCCCCCTCGAAAGAGTGGGCTCATGGACGTGACATTGGAGAAGGGTCTCCTCGCTGTGTGGATGGCACTCTTTGCCGTCTTCGCTGCACGCAAGTTCACCCAACCCGTCAAGGTATCCAATCTACTCAACCCAGCAAGGTATCATGGAACCTGTTTCGCCGAGGCTTCAAGAATTTTAATGGAGGGCACTCGTGGGGACTCTCGGGGTGATCTCTTTTGGGGGTTGTTCTGAGTTTTGAGACGTCTCAAACTCTTTCGAGGGTCTTTGCGGGCTGAATTGGGAGGAGATTCTGGAGTGGAAGAAAGGGCCTCCTTTCTTCTTGTTTCTGGTAACCATGATTTGGAACCATGACTTGTAACCATGATTTCCCTTTCATGCCAAGCACTTCACCTCTAACCTTGCTGTCCCATGTATGTGAGCGTGCCTGTGCGTGTTTGCACATGTTTTTGTGTGTGTGCGTGTGTCTACTCGTGTCTGAATTTCTGTGCATGACCATGTATGTGTGTCTATTTGCATGTGTGCGAACATGTGTGAATGTGCATGTGCATCTGTATGTGTGTATACAGGATGACATTGGAGACAAGAGTGTATTCATCTTTCAAGCCTTACCAGAGCAGCAGCAGCAGGAGCTACTTGCACGCCTCAACATGCAGAACCGGGACTCTGAATGACCCCCCTCGCAATCTTATAGCGTCACAGAATGCGTCGCAATTTTGGCATGCCCCAGCACGCATACCAGGGGCTCCGAATGATTACTTATGCGAATATTAAGCAATGAGAATTGATATGATCTACTCTGATTGATCTCAGAGGCTGCTTGCGCGTCTAAATCTGCGAACCAGGTCTCCCAGCCCTGTGGCATATTTGCTTCCCCCCACCTGCACACCTCCAGAAAGGGGATTTCTTTCTTTGACCCCGCACCTGTTACTGGTACTTGTCTACTGAAATTCATGTAGCGTACGGGAGAGGTGCAAGACAAGGCGTTTTGCTATGTAGAGGTGTTATTTATAGTGTGGTGATCTTAGGGCGTATTCCTTTCCTCCTATCAATCTGACCTCCTATCAAGCTCACACTGAAAAATCCCCTAAACCCTAAACCTCTCGCTACTTTTCCCAGGCAAAAGTACAGCCTTGATAGGAGGTGGCCTTGATAGGAGGCTGTAGGAATACGCCCTGAGCGTTTCCTAGCAGGGAGAAATAAATAAGGGCACCGCCTCAGACAAATAATTGCTGATGACACTTCAACTCCAAACTGTAAGCCATTTCGAGATTCATGAGATCCTCCCTCTAACACTCACAACTGTCACACACACTACAGTAAGACCTCCAAAAGTAAGGGCTCAAGAGCTCCCCTGGACAACCAACTTATCCTCCCTCCCCTCCCCAGACTTCCTGCTTCATTCACTCCAAGGGATCTACTTAAGACTTATCGAATTGTATATTAGGACTAACAGTCCTTCTGCAGTCGCACACTGTACTACCATTCCAGCAGGGGAAGAAGGATAGGAAAAAAGAATATTAACCTGCCCAGAGAAAGCCCAGTCCAGCTTAGCTCGCAACAAGCTTCTGCTACCATAGTTTTCTAGCCCACCATGACGAGCCCTTCGCTGCTGCTGCTGCTGCTGTTGCTGCTACTTTCACTGCTGAATCTGCTGCTGATGATGGTCAATGACTGCTTCTCAGCTAGACACATGCAAACTAGTGCTACACGACAAGGCCAATGCGCGTGTGTGAAAGTGAGGGAAAGTGAGAGTGAGAGTGGAAGAGGGTAGGGTGGGAGGAGGGGTGTGGGATGAGGAGGGGAAGAGGAATAGAGAGGGAGGAAGAGCAGAGAAGGATGCATGTGATAATGAACGAGGTGCAATGAGGAGGAAAGGAAAATGCAATGGGAAGCATGCGGCGAAGGAGGAAGTCCAACCGAGCAAGCAGGAACAGCACAGTTAGGGTCTTTGAAGCTCCAAGTAAACAATTTAGCAGCCAGCAGATGCACACTGGACTGAACCCCCTGCACGTGCTCAGAGCAAGCTTCACAGAGCAAGCTTCTCAGCGTAAACCAGTGCCACCACACATGTGCGCTCGCCTGGACATGCGCAAGCTTCTAGTGAGTCGGCGGCAGCAGCAGCAGCAGCGTCTAGTGGGCAGCAGCAGCGCCGTCCTGCACGTGCAGGAAGCGCACGACAACGCAGGTGATGTTATCGGCGCTACCACGGCGGTACGCCTCCTGTGTGAGGAACTTGGCCGCTTCCTCCGCGTCCAGCGTCTGCTGCACCATGTTGATCGCGTCCTGCAGGGCCATGTGCAGAAGGAGAAGAAGGGGGAGAGCAGGGACGGGGGGGAGAGGTGGAGAGGGGGGAGAAGGGGGGGGGGCAGGAGAAACAGGACGGGGGCCGCACGGGGTGAGAGGGGGGAGAGGAGAGGGGTGGGGACGAGGGGTTGTAGAAAGGTGAACATGGGACAAGGGAGAGTGGGGACGGAGAGACAGAGGGACTAAGACATGCGCGCTTTATAGCCAAACGGACCAGATGGGAAGGATAGGATCCAATTAGCGGAAGATGTATGGGTGTTTCAGCAGTGCTGGAAGGATGGGTGGGAGGGAGGGTGGGTGGAGGAGGTTAATGGGGAAGGGGAGTGAAGGGGCGGAGTGGGAACGGGAAGTAAGGGAGGGGAGTGGGGGAAGGGGAGTGGGGCACGGGAGCAGGCACTGGAACAGGCACTGGCACTGGCAGTGCCACTGGCACTGACCTGATCCTTGACGACATCCCAGAGGCCGTCACTGGCGAGCACAAGGAACTCGTCCTCCGGCGTCACATCATACTCCTGGGAAGAAACGGGGGCGGCGGGGGGAGGAAGAGGAAGAGGAGGAAAAGGAGGAAGAGAGTGAGTGACGAGGAGAGGCGCAAAGACGAGGAGAGGAGAGGAAAGAAGGCATACGTGGGATACGGGGTGGATGACTGGACTGAGAGTTAGGGAGGACTCGGGAAGGGAAAGGGACAGGACATGGGCGCAAGAAGGCGCATAAGTGAGGAGTTAGGAACGCTGTAAGAGGAGGGCACAGAGCAACATACGCAGAGTACACAGGAATGATTGGATCAAGCTGAGGTGCGCGCTTACCTCGATTTCAGGCTCAGCCACGACGTATCGTTTGAGTAGCTTGTCTCCGAACGCACGAGAGACGGCAAGAACGCCACCCACTCGCCACGTTCCTGCGGACAGCAAGAAAGTCCGCGCATGCATATGTGAGCAGGGATTTACACGCACGCCGGACGACGCGCAGACGGAAAGGCACGAGACGTGGAAGGACACTAAGATTGCAAACAAAGCTAGAAAGAAGGCAACGCAACACGCCAGCATCAAGCACGTCGTCTGGAGGCACTCGAGGAATATCCTAGCTCGGGGCCGTGAGGGCGCTGGTTGGCCTAGCTCGATGCTAAATCGAAGCACATCGGACTTCTGTATTGGCTAGGTGAGTCTAATCCAAAAATGATGAGAGAGCGCGAGGTGAGATTGTGCGACAGGAGGCTCACCTGCCCACATGACGGAGCCACCGGCTTGTTCAATTCGCTCCTTCTCATCCACCCGGTTTGGCTTGTGATCCTTCGAGAGTGGAGTTGCTGTAAGCGAACGTGGTGTACATCGCGACCCAGAACAAGGCACGATACCGAGAGAAGCGGTTAGCAATAGAGGGTGTTCGACGACCTGATCCGTTGAAAAATATACCACAAAACATGCTGAAAAGCCAATAACAAGTGTTTCGAAGCGGCCGTTGCTAGAAGGGATACGAGCGCGAGGCATGCGTATGGTGCGACCGACGAGGGAGCATCGCAGAATGGGGAAAAAGGAGCATGCACGAACGAGCATGCGCATGAGCAATCGACACACGAGTACAAACGCAAGGGCATCAAGACGCGAGCACAGGGGCACGGGCATGGATGGACGAACCTTGACCCTTTCTGCAAACGACTGTCCTGGAGTCACCGACATTGGCAACGAGCAGCTTCTTGCCCATCAACACTGCCGTCGACGCCGTGCTTCCCGCATCACGGTTCTGCCCGTTGTCCGTGCTCAGGTACGCGTCGTCCGTCCGCTTAAATGTCTCCGCTGCCAGGAATAGGATTACAAGAATTGGGAAGCAGCAGCAGCAGCAGCAGCAGCAGCAGCAGCAGCAGCAGCAGCAGCAGCAGCAGCAGCAGCGGCAGGCAGCAGCAGAAGGAGAGAGGTAAGAGGCGTGATTGGACGAGAAAGAACTCAAACATGTGGAAGAAAAATGCAGAATCAAACGAAGGTGGGCGAAGGCGCAGAAAGGGGCGATTGGAAGCCGGAAGGAGAGGCTGAAGAGGTAAGTGTCCGATGCAAAAACGTTTCCGTCAACTTACAAATTGCTTGCTTAACATTGGTGGCGAATTCTGGATGGTCAATCAGATTCTTAAACAAATGCTCTTTCACGTACTCCGCTGCCCGAGAACCGCCATGGCCTGAGGAGGAGAACGGAATGGATGGGACGGCAAGCAGGTGAATAAGCAAACACTCCGCAAGAGCACGCACATCCGGTGATCAAGAGCGCAGCATTCGTCACCCTTACTCGCGCCACCTCTAGTCAAAACAAGCAGCTGATACTAACTCCGTAGGACAAATCACTCGACAGGAAGATGAGACACTAACAGAATACTCACCGTCGAAGACACCGAACAGTCCAATAATTTGATCGCCGACCTTCGCTATCCGCGCATCCTGGAAATCTTCCATAAACAAACGCTTTCCGCGCAGTTGCGAAAAGCCAAAGCTGAAGGTTCCATCCTCGCTGTTTGATTACGTGCACGCAGGTCGAAAGAGCAGGAATAGCAGAAGAGGGGATTTTCATGGTTGGCAGTTTTTTTAGCAATGGAAAGGGTGAAAAAAACAAACCCACACACACACACACACACACACACACACATTGAACGCAGGTCATGCCGCAATCATGTTGAAAGGGCTGATGTTGAAAAAGACTTTCCCCAGCATTCTTAACAAAAGGACTTCACCGAGCAGCAGGAAAACATTTCCATGTAGTACGTAAATGCGAACGTTATACAGTGGCGTCAGATCTAACTTCGATTCTACGCCTTGTCCCAAGTGGTGGAATTCTGAGCCAAACTGCAAGCTTTCCGCAATACACTTTTTTTTCCTCATAACGTACACTAATGTTGTTATAAGTACTCCAACTTCGCAGTAGCTGCTGGCATTCTTAAAAAGGTTCTGCCTTTGTCGAGAAAGTGCAGACGCTTAAAACGACGGCAGATAGCGCCATTGATTGCAGAGAGACACTAGCATCGCAGGCCTAAGTACGTTTTCGTACCAAGAATCACATATTCCAACTACCTGGAATGGTATCAGTGACCCGAAAAAAAACGTGTATCATGGCAAACGATCCCCCTTTGAAACACACTGCCGGAACAGGTGTAAGAACGTACCTAGTCCCTCCACCAGTCGACGCAACTGATCCACCAGCCCCTTCCTTTGACGCCAGCACATTTTTCAAAGACTCCATAACAGGTATACCATGCAGACGTCAACAATGGCGGTGAACCTAACCCAAACTGGGAACGGACAGGATGCACGAGGCCTGAGCTTCAAAGTATCAGGCAGTCGGTAGCAGAGATTTGGAAATTAGGAGGCGACTAATCTGTGCAGATTGA